AGATCTCCTCTGCTAAAGTGACAGACTCTGCTCTGTACTTCTGTGCCCTGGAGCCCACAGTGACAGGAAACACAATGACACTGTACAAAAACCTGACTTAAGTTAATCATCTAGTGGGTTAATTATTAATCATCCAGGAAATTTCTGCAGACATTAGTTTTTGTTAGCTTAAAAAAAAAAATCAATAAAAATAAAAATGTGTAACTTGCTAAAAAACATTTCTCATATTTTGATATATCATTTAAGGTAGTTTTCTGTAGAACCTATAGAATTGTATCTGAGAATGCATTTCGTTTATACCTCAAATCAAAAGAAAGAAAACAATGTAAAAGTGGCTCAAACATATTTACCATTCAAGAAAGAACATTATTTCAAAATAAACATGCTGTTCTAAACGCCAACAGAAGGGGCAACATAATCTTGTGTCATGTTTCACAAGCATTTCCCTGCTGCTCACCCTTGATGATTAAGAAGTGCTATCAACATTTAATTTTAAACACTGAATGGAGTGTTGAGTAATGATTATTAAAGTAATACCCTGGTGAAAATATATATTTTTTACTTGCTCTGTGTAATTATGATAAAGCAAATCCATTAGACATATAGATAGATCTATTTGAAATGCAGCTAGATGGTAAGGGTAAATGATTAGTGATATACTGAAGCTCACAGATCATGTTTAAGTTTCTCTGACCACACCCACATTATTAGTACACAATAAAACTTCACTTGTACCAGTGTATTCAGTCACCCATTAGCTACTCTCACATATTTATTCATTTTATGAAGCCACATTCAGCAGAATTTATTAGTTACAACTCTTCAATAAAGCAGTTTAATAATAAATAAACAAATAAAAAAAATAAAAAATATATTTTATTATTTTTTCCCCCTTTTTTTAAAAAAAGATTTAAAGCTAACTTGGAAGAAATGGAGGAGAAACAAATGTTACTCATGATACTTCTCACAGTTTCAGGTAAATACTGTATTTTATTCAGAACTACAGTGACTCACAACTTACACTTATTCTGTATTAGATCAAGATATATTTAATATTATGTATTCATTTCAGGTTCATTTGCTAATACAATTGAACCAAGAGAAGGAGACACTAATATAATCAGAGAAAAAGGAGAGTCTGTGACACTGAGCTGCACATTTGAAACTAACAGCAATGATATTTATCTTTACTGGTACAGACAATATCCAAACAGAGAACCAGAATATATACTGTATAAAGGCACTCGATCATGGAGCAGTTATAAGGATATACCAGATGGGTTTCAATCAACTACATCCCAGTCATCCACTGAACTTACTATTGTAAAAGCAGCTCTGTCAGATTCAGCTCTGTATTATTGTGCACTAAGAGTAGGAGCCCAATGATGCAAAATCCCGCCGCTGTGGCTTAACCTTAACAAAGCAAGTCATTTACCTGTCAAGCCGAAAAAAGAAAGATCTGCATCTGTTTCCAAGCGCTTTGAAGTCTCCTGTAGCGATGGAAAGCTTTACCGATGTCCACTCTTGTCTTGCTTTGAGACCTGTCGCTTTTTGCTCTTTATAATCCTCCTATTTTCCTTTTAGGGTGGTTGGCTTTGTAAGCTGTTCTTGACAGATAAGAAATAGCAAACATTTTGCATTCTCCAGTTCATACTCATGAAACAGTTAATAATGGCTTCCAGCCAGTCATTACTGCAAAATTGTCCCTGATCAACAAAACCAAAGGATAGATTGTCAAGATTATTTTATGATAATCATAACTTTGTGGCTGGAAAAAAAATTATATTCACTCCCTTGGTTTCAGATACGACCTCAATGAGCATTTAAATAGGCTAGGTGCAAGTTACTGTACAGCTTGTTTTGTGGACAGTAACGTTAATATGATCATTCTTATTTAGGGAAAGCAAATTTATTCAGATTTTATGGATATTTTATATGAGTCTAGGAAGCATGCAAACATTTCATTAGCCAATTTAGTGCAAATATAAAATAAGGGTGATTTAGAATAAAGATTATATGTTTTACTAGACAAACACACCAGACCAATGTTTGTGTTTCCAAGTTGTACCAGCAGAGGCAGACATGTTAAAATGTTCTTGAAACATACAACTGACTGTTGTACAGTATTGTTAGACACCATATATTATGTTAAGTGATGGTTGAGGTTTTTTTTTTTTTGAGAGGTTAAAGATTTTATTTAAGATTTACTCTGCCTACTGTCATTAGGTAAGGGAAAATGTACAGTCAGCCAGTCATCACTGCAAAATAAACCTTGACGGTGATCAACAGGACCCAAGAACAGAGCGTCAGGATTATAATGTGATAATTATAACTTATAAATTATTTTAGAAATAATTATAAATTATTTAGTTTTTATGCATATTTTATATGAGTCTATGAAGCATGCAAACATTTCATTAGCCAATTTAGTGCAAATATAAAATAAGGGTGATTTAGAATAAAGATTATATGTTTTACTAGACAAACACACCAGACCAATGTTTGTGTTTCCAAGTTGTACCAGCAGAGGCAGACATGTTAAAATGTTCTTGAAACATACAACTGACTGTTGTAGTACAGTATTGTTAGACACCATATATTATGTTAAGTGATGGTTGAGGTTTTTTTTCTTTAGAGAGATTAAAGATTTTATTTAAGATTTTATTTATTTTATCTAGTGAGTATTCAGTAGTATGTAAATTCAAGTGCAGGGATTGTCACAGTTTGGTGTTGAAGTTTGCTGTAAAAGATTCAAAAGGATGACTGTGTTTAAGTGCAGGAGTGCAGGTTTTAGGGGAGGTGCTATCTGCAGACATCCTCTGCTACACAGTGAGGGTTTGCTGTCTAACAGTCTGTGCAGCAGATGAACTAATCCACTGCAAAATGGTGCTCATCTCTTTACTTTTGTTCTGTACTCTTGCATGTAAGAATTTTTTATTTATTTTCTTACATTATTATATATTTTCAGATTTTCCATTCTATTTAATTGTATCTTGTGCTTTTGTATTTCATGACAATGGAGTTAATATGGAATCTTATTTACAGATGTCAGTTTTGGGAATGTCATCACACCAGTCCAGCCTGAGGTGTTTGGGACAGAGGGGGACAATATAACTCTGTCCTGTAACTACTCTTCAGCAGTTAGTCTGCAGTGGTATCGCCAATATCCAAACTCAGTTCCTGAATTTCTTTTGATAATACTACATAGGACAGGGAAAGTTTCACAAAAGTCTAAAATTGTAGAACA